GTAAACCACGCCTCAAATACGAGAAAATGTACATGTGGTTCCCAGACCCAAGTTTCAACGAGAATTGGGTCTGGCATTAGCCAGGCTACACAGCTGGTGTTTTTTATTTTAATTTTTTTTATACAGGGACCAGATGCCACTGATGAGTCCTGCTGACTTCAACATTCACATGAGTCTATGTACATGAACATGGTAAAGTGAAAAATCAAACACCTTGGAAATGACAGGTATTTACTATGTTTCAATGGCACAAAGGTGTGTGACTGTTCAAGTCTCTGTCTTTAGATCAGTGTGTTCAATAATGTGCTTTTTTTGTCATTTGTTGTGTATCTTTGGATTATGCTGTGTTGTAAATAAATCCAAACAATCAAAAAGCCATTCTTTTTTAAGTCTCTCCTCATTCTTTGTGCAAGGCTCCTCATAATGATAGCACCTTATAGGCCCATTAGGGGAGGGTCTTTGTCTTTCTCAGGTGTGAAACACTCAATATTAATGGGTGGTTAACGCCTCCCTGCATAAAGCTTTCTTACACAAAACATGTCTTTCAAATTTTAAATCAATATATTGTTTTATCTGAATGAGTACGCAGGATGATTTTCACATAGTTTTGGAGCAAATATTCTAGGCTACGTGATACAATTTTCAAAAGTCTTGTGAAGAAATAATCAGTATGGGTTTCATGACCTTATTTCAGTGACATTTTTGTTTTGTTTTTCACAAACCACACATAAACATCATTATCTTAAAACTACAAACTTTTACATACATGCTGCTGACATATTATTGTAGCAGAGTTAGTGCTGAATACAGTGTAATCAGACTTTAGCCATGAAAATGTCACAAGTATCAGAAATAAGCACAAATGTCAGAGCATGTCAGAACACCTCCGGGCCCAGAAAACACCTCAGAGGGTTAAAATTGCGGATTTCTCTGGATTTAAACATTGTAAACATTTGGGATAACGCAAGTACATAAGTCAACAAAATATATAACATTGTTCTAGTGGTTTTTGGATATTTTAAAGGTGAAATAGGTGATTCTCTACATAAATGTATTTTTGTTATGCTGGTTGAAAGTCTCCTCATATCCTGATAAACATATCTGATAGCAATAATTACTATGTTAAGCGGTCTAAATGTATTTTTATAAATATATATCGTCTATGGAAGGCATAGGACCATAAAATGTTCGTTCAAATGCATTCGGTCCGAATAAAATAATAGCATGTGTTCCCTATCAGTCAATGTGTGTTTGCATACCAGGCTAAAGTTAGCTTTTCCCAGATCACTTTTTGCACCTTTAATGCAAAAATCGTACATATTGTACCTATAAAAGTAAAATAAAAAACAAATAAAAATAAAAATATCCACTCCCTCACCTGCACTGGCAGTAAGAGACGTTTTCTGCTCAATACGGAAGCGCATCTCCCTCACAGCCTCGTCTGCACTTGTCCCAAACACCTCAGCTTTCCCTTCAGCTCCTGATAGTGAGGTCGAGGAGCAGGGACTGTCCTCAAACAGCACAGGAGACAGTCCATCTTTCTCAGATTCACCCGCAAACCTTCCTGCATCATCTTCTTTTCATCAGAATAAAGAACAAACATCATGCTAATATGACTGCTCATATTAAAAGACATTAATACATAATAAAAGCTTTCACAAAATAAAAAGTGAACCTCATTTCAATCTTTTAGATGCCAACGACTCCCAAACATGATCATCCTTGTGTGAGTGAAATTAAAATGCAGCTATATTTTTCATGAATAAAGACCTAATGTATACCATGAAACATTTTTATTTATTTAATTACATATTTGGTCTCACTTTGTTTTTGGAGTCTTTACTACGTACTTAAAAAAATTTGGGGGGTTCAATGTACTTATTGTGTTCATGTTGTATTGCAAAACACTTTCTGCTATTGAGGTGGGATACAGGTAAGGTTAAGGACATGCGAGGTACGGGTAGGTTTAAATGATGAGTTAAGGTAAAAGGGGAGGGTAAACGGTGTAATTATAGATGTAATTACTGAAATCAATTACAGAAATTACATGCAGATACTTTTTAAATGCAAGTACAATGTAAAAATATACACAATAACCGCATTGTATAAAATAATTAATTTAAAGATTAATAGTAATTAAAGACACTTAATATAAAGTGGGACCAGATTTATATTTAAATTAGAAATCTGTGCAAAATATTATTTGGAAAATATCTATATATTGTTAAATTACTACTTTTTTCTACTTCTTATAGTGCTATAATATGTTTTTTTTAAATAAATCATTATTACAATTACAAATATTTATTTATTTTCATTTTTTTTTACACTGCTTATCTCCAATCTTTTCGACAGACCACAAATCACTTCCAGTTTGAAAACCCCTGCACTAGTCAGTAGACTTTTGTAACACACCTGTCTTGGCATCACACATGTGATGTGTTCGCATGGTCTCCGGCCAGAGCTTCCGCTGCTCCAGATGCTCAGTGATGTCCAGATAAGCCTCGTCCAGACTCACAGGCATGAAATGAGGGTCATACTCTGAGAATATCTCCCGTACCTTAAAGACAGACCCAGGCATGAGGAAACGACAGCAGATGACTACTGAATGTCGCCGGACTAACATATAACATACCTGGGCACTCACTGCTCTGTATTTGTCAAAGTTGGTGGGCATGATAACTAGGTTTGGACAGAGCTTCTTCGCAATGAACCCTGGCATGGCAGCACGGACACCAAACCTCCTGGCGTGGTAATTGGATGTTGACTAGGATTGATAAAGACAATGTCAACACTGTGGACATGTGATGATGTTCTGTGAGGTTTGTTTTAGATTCTCACCAGCATGCTCATGGACCCCACTGCCATCGGTTTGTCCTTCAGCTCCGGGCAGTCTCTCATTTCTACAGCAGCATAGAATGCGTCCATGTCTACGTGAACTACCACACGGCCCAGATCTCGACCCCTCTCCAGTTCACATTTTAGTTTGTCCACCTATGGTGCGAAAACTCTTAAACAACTGAACAGGTATGTGGAACTAATGTATTTCATTGTATATTTTGGGTAAAGCTCACAAAAAGATGTCCACCTCTTCGTTTCACTCCAGTTTATATTTTGCATAAAGACAATGTAGCAAGAAGTTATTTTAGAACTATTAAGATTTATTGCATTGTGACAATAAAGCACAATGTAATAATATCACGATGCAATTATCATGACCATAAGGCATCATTCACACAGTTCCTACAACTGTGTAAAACATTAATAAGACTCATCCTGTCCAGACAAAATGATTTAAAATAATACATCCTATTTTCAATATAATAGCATTTCAGTAATAAAACTCAGGTTGAAATTGTCATAAGATTTATGACAATCATTACAGAGTTGATTACCTCTACTTGTGCTTGCTTCATCTGTTCTTTAGTGATTCTTGCTTTTTGCTCCATCATTTTTTCAATGCGCTGATTCACCTGCCGCTCCTTCTTAAGTTCATTCTCATAAAATTTAGATCCCTGTTATTCAAAAGAACAAATTTATTTTATTTTTCTCAACTGCATTATAAATGAGTCAATGTCAACACTGTCCTGAACTGTAACTTGCTACTGTTAATTTCATATAAAAGTATTTAAACATTTAATGAATTTATAATATTAACCGTAAAATAACTTAAAATGTGATTCCATGTTATTTATTAAAAATTAATACGTAAATAATAAATTGAACAGAACAGCACTATAATAAGTAGCATTAATGTAACTTGATAGAAACTCAATGACAGGCCAAACTTCACCCATACACATTAATATAGCCCAATTATTAATTGTATTTTTGTCTGATCTGCTTAAAAAAGCTTAATGTCCACGTTATTTGTCAACTACACTACACATATAAATACAAGTATAATACTGTATAACTTAAGTACATAAATAGCTGTGCAGACCTTGGAGGTTTCCAGAATGACCTTGTTGATCTTGTCTCTGTCCAGTCCCTCCATGCCAGCCTTGTTATCATTGAGAGCGATCCTGGAGAGAAGATCAGCTCCAGAGCAGCTCACACTCACAGCAGCATCCTGATGATGATTCTCCATTCCTGCTTCTTTCACTTCCTTTCCCAAACTAACACCTGCGACCGAGTAAGCGACCTGCCATAGATGCTAAATGTCTAAATATTGAGGTCTTATTATGATAGCAGGCAAAAAAATGTTGTTGTTTTTTTCTATTGACAGCTTTTCCTGTGCTAGTTAGATAGCCTAACAGTTAGATATCACTGAATGCATTTTGAAGCATTTGGTTTTAATTGAATTACGTTACTTGACTGTCTTGCAGATATATAGCTAAAGAAACCTAAACTAGTCAGGGATCCACGGGTTTATAGTTAACTAAAAAACAAAAACGATATAAAAGCGTTATTTGCCAAGCCATAGCCCCGCATAGCCCCCATTTTTGAACGTCTTGTTCTCGAAAAGGAACGCACCACCATGAACGTCTTTATCGCCACCTGCTGTACTGGAATGTGAACATACACCATTTGGGGTTTCATGTTTTAAATGGTATGTGACATTTTGTTTATTGTGAGCGAATTCCAAACGACGTGTTTGCGCCCTTGAAGGGCACTGCGAAAAAGAAACGCATTTGTTGCGTTGTTTATTTCGAGTTAAAAATCGTATTACCAGGCTAGCAGCAAACGCGAGTCGAGTATGCGATTCTGTCTCGCTCTCGCGATAATAATATAATCTCGCGTTTGACACGAGTTCTGTGCGAAAGCAGGAAAGTGACAGACAGGCGGAATTGAATCTGATTCAGCCACTAATTGTAATATAACGCGTACAGATGGGATTTATAAGTAAAGAAGTAGTAAGAAAACAATTCTGTCGCATTTATTATTGAGTTCAACAGATATATGTGTGCTTTAATTTTATTGTGTGAGATCATACGTTACTGAACTCCGTAGATTACTCTGCATTTACGCCGTTTACCGTAAGAGGAACTAACGTTAGCGTGTTTCAACAAGAAAACCAGAATGGCGCTTCATCAAAAAGCCCAGGTTTCATGGTGAAAAAATGGATACAAAACCGTCGAAATGATCCGCCACCTTAACGTAGTGCCAGTTTTGATACTGATAATCAACATCGGTAAGGACTGAAATGATATGGTTTGTGGAATTGCCGTAGTATAAAACAACGTATCATTGCTTTCATGTCCTTAAAACAGCATATATCTGTTTTATTTCAGAGAGGACATTCGGCTTAAAGCCCCCTCACGATGTCAAGATAGTCGTATCAGATCTGCAGTGGAAGCCTTCCAACGATGACACCGTGCTGTATTCACTACAGTACAACCCTAAACGGTAAGCATATTATGTCAAATGGATAGTTCAACCAAAATGAAATTGTCATCATTTACTCACCCTCATGTTGTTTCAAACCCTTTTGATGTTTTTTTTTCTACGAGAGTTATACATAATTTCAGTCACCGTTCACTTTCTTTGGCTCTTTTTCCATACAGTTAAAAAGTGAATGGTGACTGAGGAGGTCATGTATAACATCTCACTTACCTGCACTATCATCTTGCCTTTAACTTATTCTGAATTGTTGTTTTGATTTTAGCAAATCAGAGGATGAATGGCTCAATGTGTCGAGCCATATTGGAACAAAATTAAGAACATTTCAAATCACTCCTGAATTTTATGGAGCGGTATTTCGAGTTCGCACAGAGAAAGGAAACAACGTGTCAGAATGGCAGTATTCAAATCCGGTCCAGTGTGTAAATGGTAAAGATTGCTTTATGTGGTTATATGGACCTTCCATTTTAAATGTTTATCACCTCTAATATCTCTAACACAAATATCTATGTTCTTTGTGTTTCACAGTTGCAGTTTGTCTTCCTGTGACGAATCTGATTGTAAAACATGAAAGGGTTTCCCTGACTATGACACATATGGACCAGAGCTTGGAGAAAGAATATGGAGAGCACATTGAGTTTAATATATCATACTGGAAAGTAGATAACGGAGGATCCTCTAAGGTCTCTTGCATCCTTCACAAAAAAAGAAAAAGAAAAATGTGAACAAACATTCATTCCCTATTTCTGTAAGAAGACTAGTGTAAAGCTGACAAGAGTTTTTTGTTCCTACAGGTAGAGACTATTATTACGAATAGAAAGAATGAACCCTTACCTGACCTGGAATCAGAGCAAAACTACTGTTTCCAGGTTGAATATTTGCTTTACAATAAGCCTTATGGAAATGCTAGCAAGGAAATATGTGAAATCATCCCGGAAACACGTAAGTCTTATTCTCTTTTTTATTACTAGAGCGCAAACTGCATCAGCTTCATTCAGAGTGTGTGTGATTAAACCCAATCAGAAATTCATTTACTTTTAGTTACTGAAATGAATCACATGCTGCAATGCATTATTAATTTTGCTCAAGTGCATTAATTGTTTAACTGAAATGTGTTATTTCATTCCTTTCTTCCTGTGTAGCTGAAGCAGCAAGCAGACGTGTTTTGCTCTATAGTATTTTAACCACACTTTTTGTTTCGGCCATGTGTGGTATCTGCATTTTTGTACTTTTTAAATACCACAAAAAGGTGAAACAACTATTGCAGCCAATCCAACTGGAGATTCCTGATCACTATCGAGAGGTACACATCCATATTTTATAATTATTAATCAATTGAGATAAAGTAAAGTAACTGAATATGGCAACCTATAACAATGAACTACTTTTATGATAAATATTGTTTTGGTGCATGTTGTCGAATTTGAGTTCTGAAGAGGCCTGCTTATCATCAGGCAACACGTTTTTCTTAAATTATCATTCATCAGTTCGAAGAGTTAGATGTAAATTATTATTATTTTTTAAAATGAGTATTTGACTAGTTGAGTACTCAACTAGTCCCTCCCCTGTGAAGGCCTCCTTTCCTTTACCTCTGTACAAATAATCATTGTCGGGATAATTCCGGTTCACGTGGCTACGCCGAAGCGATAAAATTATGTATTATACATTTTAAGGCCAGACAAGTAGTTTGTTGAGGGTTGGTTTTTTAGGGAACGGCTACATGCCTGCGCACATGTGTTCAAACGTACATACCTATAGAATGAACTCTTAATATGCATGTGCACGCCATCAGAGTTCTCACAGGTTCGCATTTTTAAAGTTTGCGTAGAGAGAACTTAAGAGTTTTCTGTTAAAACGGTGTCGTGTTAGCAGCCCCTAAGTTAATAACTAATGATCGTTGCGACGGAAGTGAATCAATTAAAACGAACTTTAGCTGGAAAATACCTTTATTCTAGAGCTGTCATAAAGCCAAAACAATCTATGTTACTTCAATTTCCTATTATCACTGTAAAGCAACTTAACTACAACTTAATCTACATTGTTAAAAGCGCTATATAAATGAAGATGACTTGACTTGACTATTTATGTTCTTCCCTTTATGTAGGTTCTGTATAATGAGTTTCCTCTGCAAGCTTGTCCAAGTCCCAGCAGTCAGAGTCTACGGTCATATGACTTGATCACAGTAATAGAGAACAGCAATGAGGAACAAGAGAAAAGATTTTTGACTTAAAGATTGTGACTGTCTTTACATCTTTACATACATATACTTAGTTCATTTAAAAAAAAAATTATTTGGTATTTTTATTTGCAATTAACATACTTTGTTTGCACATCACTAACAAGCTTACAAATTCAAAATGCATCAGAAAACAGTTACATGAGCAGTAGCATTATTGTTGTTTAATGTTTATTTAGGCTATTTGGTTTAGATTAGATTGCAATGATTTATATTTCTAGCACTTTTAACACTAAATCTGAAAATAACTGTTTGTTGCCAGTTTTAGAATAATGTAATCGCTATCTACATTTAATCTGCGTAGTATCTATGATGGGCTAAGTAGAGATTCAGCTAAAGAAAATAACTACATTCTGACCATAAATATTTAAATAACTTTAAAAATGTAAGAATTCTTCAAATATTTTAGTTGTTTTTGTTTGGCCATAACAGTAACTGGTTGCTCCATTTGACCCTCTGATATTCGTTCCCTATTTCAACTCAACTCCTGTTAGAACACATGCTCAGTTTTCAGTATTGCATATGTTATTATATTTCAAAATTCCCTTTAAATAGCTGTACACAGTTGGTCTTCCCTCAGAGCATAATTTATTGTATATGTCCCTCATTATTTACATTGTATTCTATGTTGTTATATATGTATAGTTTTGTTGAATGTCTTTTTTATTGTGAAATTAATTTGGTTGCCAAAATGTAAACACATTGAAGCATTTCATATAGCAACTATATATATCTACACACTGATGATGGAGTTAATTAGGAAAAGTAGAGTCTGTGTCATCTTATTTTAATTGCATTCAATTGGGCTGCTTTTAATAAAAGTGCCTACATTTTTGATAGTGGCCATTTAACATGCAATACAAAGTGTGGGAGCTTAATATTTGTTATACTGTGAAATTGTAAAATGATAGTGTAATTTTTAATGAATGTTTGATTAATAGCTTTAAAATAATCGATGAACATTGGAGATTTGAAACTACTGCTAAGCTCTCACTATGTTCTTAGTTGAGAAATTAGTCTTTTTTTTGCACAACTGTGAAATTCTTTATTAATTTAGCTGTTGGTTTTTCTTTCTTGTTTTGATTACAGATACCTTTTATTGTGAACCTGCTCAAGACAATATGTGCAAAGTTTCTCAATTGTGAAATACGCGCTATAAAAAAGATAAATTACTTTTTAAAAAAGACAGAAGTGTTTCCTCTTGCATTATTTTCAGTTATTAGCATGAGTTAAGTATGCTAATTGCTTGATGTACAATATGCAGATTTTACGTAAAAAAATAAAACTATTTTTTTCCAACCACAAGAGGGCACAAGCCTACTTGATTTTCATAAGCACTCAGGATAAAGCCAACTACAAACTTCCTAAACCTTTCTGCTTTTCTCAGAAAACCTAATCATATTTTGCAGCATTAGTCATATTGTTTTACCTGATGAAAAGACTCGGTTATTCCATCAGAAAACCTGGAGTGAAATGCCAAGACTGTTTTAGTCTGAACTGTGAACTTTTGCACCGTTTTCTCCACAGAACATCCGATCTTTGCATGAGACTGAAGCGAAGAATGTGCCAGCGGCATACAATGTGTTGGATAGCTTTAGAGATGATAGGGAACAGACTTAAACCCCTTAACTCTTCCTCCTGAAGCCGTTGTCTCAATATCTCCATCAAAGGAATGTTAAGCCTCCATGCAGACCCACTGTGAGTAAAGAAGGGCTTCAAATACTTGAAGCAGACAGGTGTTTACACAAGTGATGCTTGCCTTGACACGTGGAAAGACAGATTATCAAATAGTTTGTTATTATCTAAACACTTTAAACTACCATGAAAAACGCACCTAAACCAGCCCCAGAAGTTGGTCTTGAATGGTTTGAGCTGGTCTTTGACCTATAAGCTGTTTAGCTGGACTAAAGTTGGTCTTCCAAGTTCCAGCTAAGGCTGTTTTAGCTAGCCTTTTTGTTGTTGTTAGTTTTTTCTTAAGAAAAGATCGAAAGACTACAAAAGCTGTGTAGAACAACTGATATAGTATAAGTTAACCTTCGGTCTATGGGTCTAATAAAACCATTCTTCTTGTGTGCAAAGGTCAATTTATCAAGGAACAATTTAAAGAATGGAAAGAAGTACGTTTGATTCAAAAGGATGTTTTAAAAGTTGAGGTGATCATCACCTTGGAGTCGCAACAAATGCTCACATTAAATTAGAGTTGCATTCATTCATTGTGTGCATTCTTTAATTATTTTAACATGATTGACTTCTATATGAGCATTAATTCTCTTGTTAACAGCAAGCTAACAACTGCACCCTCATTACCACAACATGCTACAGTCTTATACCTTTTAAAAGTTTGGAGTCAGTAAGATTTATTTGAAAATAAAATAATTGTATGCATCAAGGATGAATTAAATTGATCAAAAGTGACTTACCAAGCTCAAACTTTTGAACAGTGAACATGCATGTCTGCCAATGTGCAACCCATAGTGAAATATTTGAGAATCAAAACATATTTTTAAGCTGCAAACCACATTATAACTTACATATTCTTATCTATTTATGACAAGCTTTGATATATTTGTTATCGGAATGGACTTTCAAACTAACATGAACAAGATGTAAGCCAAGGCCCGTCATATCCGTGTGTGACAGCTAAGATTGAAGAAGTGCATTCCCTCAATTACTAAACTATTATAAACCCCAGAAGAACCGTACCAGCGACTAGTAGGGATTTTGTTCAATTCTGTTCGCAAAAAATGCTGCGTTCCAGGCAGGTTTTTGAGCAGGTAAATCACGACTTCAAACCACGACTCACGACTTTGTAGCGTTCCATCCAGTCACGCCAAACTACCTGTGCGCAATATATACTTATTGTTTCAGAGACAGTTAAAATTGTAATACATAATCGTGTGTGTATTTTTATCATTATTATATAATTATTAATTTGACTGAAACGTTATATTGGCCTAAAGTGCATTCTCACCGTGTGTGTGTGTGTGTGTGTGTGAGGGGGGGGGGGGTGTTTTGTATGGTTCCGCGGGCTATGTGACGTCAGAACTCGTAACTGGGAGTACATCGATCTAGTACGAGTTCACGGGTGGGAAGTCACGGGTTTGACTGCCGTTCCAGTGCACTTTCACGGGTATAAGGTTGGAAAAACACAGGTTACAGGTTGCCTGGAACGCGGCAAAAGACTCATGCTGCGTCCCAATTCGCCTACTTATACTACGCCAGTACGCCCTAAAAGTATGTACTCTTTTTGTGAAGAAAAAGTAGGCCTACATACTTTTGAGTGTGTAGCAAAAGAGTAGGCAAGCTTTGGGACATACTACTTCGTCATCTTTAACGGACAGATCTGTCGCTGCCCTGTCAATCATCTCGTCACAGTTAAAATCCTCCATTCAATCTAATATAACTTCTTACCATTTCGAAGAGAATTGTTGTCGCACGTTCATCTGCCAGTCATGGGTCTTTCATGCGGAGACTCTCCTCATGTGTTTGGAATTTGAATATAATAATGCATTTAAAAGTTAATGGCTAAACGTATCTTTGCAAAAGTTCACAATGCTGCTGCAGATGCAATATAATGTGGACAACATTGAATAAATACATTTTCGTCAGGTTATATACGGATAATTATGCTGCGTTCCAGGCAGGTTTTTGAGCACGTAAATCACGACTTCAAACCACGACTCACGACTTTGTAGCGTTCCAGGCCAGTCACGCCAAACTACCTGAGCGCAATATACATACTTATTTTTTCAGACACATAACATTGTATTACATAATCGTGTGTGTATATACATACTTATTGTTTCAGACACATAACATTGTAATACATTATCGTGTGTTTATTATTATCATTATTATTATATTATTATTAATTTGACTGCAACGTTATATTGTCCTAAAGTGTATTCTCACTGTGTACCGCCTGCAGAAACACTGCATCCGTAGGGGCTGCCATTGTTGTTTTGTATGGTTTTGCGGGCTATGTGACGTCAGAACTCGTAACTGGGAGTACATCGATCTAGTACGAGTTCACGGGTGGGAAGTCACGGGTTTGACTGCCGTTCCAGTGCACTTTCACAGGTATAAGCATAGGCGGAGTTTGGGGGGGGCTAGGGGGGGCACTGCCCCCCCAGACCAGAGCCAATTAATGCCTGCCTTGTGCTTTGAAAAAAAAAAAAAAAATACTGTATTCATATTTTCTCATTTTATTTGTCTTATCTTATCATTTTTGCGGGTATAATGAGTAAGTTAAGGCTAAATTATTTTTAATTACTGTATTGAAAAAGAAGCTAATTTTCTCACGACTGGCGGATCTCAAAGTATCGCGGTAAGTGAGGAATTTCCTGTGTGTTTTTCGCGTACAGACACGTCCGTTCACATGGATCCCCAAAAACGACTAAAACCGCTGTATTATTCATGCCAGGCCGACTCTCCATGAGAGGATAAAGAACAGGCTGCGGTTGACGATGGGAGCAGCCAGGTTTTCTTCTCTTGCGATCCTTCACATCGAAAGCGACATTACGGCCAAGCTCTCACCTGAGACCATTATCGACGCAGGACGCAAAAAAACGAAAATTACTGTTGCACTAGTCTGAGCAATATCTAAGTCTGTAAGTTTTATTTCTCTGCCAAATAACTGCTTAAGATGGAGAAAAACTCAACACACTGCTTTCAATATGCTGTTCAATATGTTTCAAAAGTGGAGAGTAGGCTATGTGACCGTTAATTTTTCCCGTGTCTCAATGTTTTAAATGTTTCATGAAATGGCTACAACAAAATGCGAAATAACTTGTTTTTTTTTAATCGCTCTCATTGCCACAATGTGTTTCAAACGTGGAGAGTAGGCTATTGTGTGACTGTTCATTTTTCCCGTGTCTCAAAATGTTTTAAATGTTTCATGAAGTACAATAAAATGCGAAATATAACTTTAATCACTCTCATTGCCACAATGTGTTTTGAAAAAAGGAAAGAAAAGAAAAACTAAAAATCTTTTTGTTTTGGTTGAAGAT